GTTGTAACAGCAGCTGTCTTTGATGGTAATTGTAGCGGGGTGATCACCCCGCTCCGGCCCTGGAAGGGTACAAGCAGCCCTGGAGAGGGCTGCAGCATGGAAGCTGGGCTGATTGGGAAAGTAGCCACAGCTGTAGCTGGCTTAATCAGGGCCCAGCCGGCCCTTATAAGAGGACAGTGGGCCAAGAGCAGGCAGTCCCCCTCTAGCTGAGGAGGGAGATGGACCTAGCTGCCTGAGTGCTAAAGGGGACTGGAGTGGAGCAGGGCTGGGGAAAGGCCAGAGGAGCTAGGGAGCTCCGGGCCAGCAACTCCCCAGGCTGCAGGGCCTTGTACAAGGCCCCTGGAGGTTCTGGGTTGCAGAGAAAGGCAGCAGGTCAACACCTCCCTTGCCTATGATGACTGGCTTATACAGACTGCAGTTGGCCCCAGTGAAAGGGGGCTAGATGGTGACTGGCAGTAGCCCATAGGCTGAGGCGAGGCGGGGATAGAGGATGGGGGTTCCCTGGGGAGGGGAGACCCAGCTCTGTGGCGTATTGCCTGGAGGGGCAGCACCCTGGGTAAAATGGCACTGGGGTCTGGGAAGGACACGGGGGGCCAGCGGCAAGCGGGACATTGGCCTGCAGAGGGTGCTCCGGAGCTGGAAACAGAGCTAATTCCTAGGAACCAGCAGGAGGCGCTGCGGGGGTGAGTCCCGCCCTGTTACCGTAATCTTGTCACTTTAGAACAGACTTTTTGTCTCGGGATGTGGTTCTACAATTAACACAGACCTTGTACACCGACGGGCGTATTTCAGGTAGCACAAACTCAGCAGGCTGAGGGGCGCATTTCTTTCTGATGGTCAGGCCAAAATCAGGGGTCTGTTCTGGGCCATTCTTTCTCCCATTTTCCCAGAACATAAAAGTATTCATTGTTACTTGAATTCAACAGATTGCGAGAGGTCAGCAGAGCTGGGGGCTGGGAGAGCTGCGGGTCAGGAGGATTGAACATCACCTGTGAAGGGCAATCGCTGAGCTGCTGCTCGCAGGAACACTGGTTTCAATCTGGAGTCACTCCAGTGAACCCAGAGGCTGGCTCTGGATTGACACCAGTGCCTGCGATAGGGCTGCCACCTGTCCAGGCTCTCCCAGGATCATCCCTTTTCTGATGTATCTGCCCAGGTGTTCAGTTACATGGCCAGCTGGCCAGTTTTGTGGGCTCAGCATCGTCCCAGATGTCCCGGGTTTTTGTACCCTAATCTGCAGTCAGCATCAGGCCCTGTGTCTTAAACACCCCGTCTCTCTGCTGTGTCTCAGGAAGTGGAGCTGTTCCTCCTGTTCTCTTTAAACCCTCTCTAGCCAGCATGCTGGAAACAGCTTCTCTCCTGCACGTCCCCATCTCTCCCGGGCAGGGGGACCAGGTGCTGAGCTCTCTGGAAAGCGCCCGGGTTCTATGTGACGGGATTCATGGGCTCTGTCCTGGTAAGTCCACTGCAGATGCTGAGGGATAATAGCACAGTAACAAACCTGGAGCCATCCAGGCCTTCCTGGCTCTCCCCACTCGCAGACAGCAGGGCTAGAGCCCAGATCTTCCAGGTCCAAAGCACAGCCCCGCCCCCACACTGCAGTTATAGAATCCCCACTAGTAATGCGGGGCCTGCGGCACACGGTCCAGCAGGTCTGAACAGGCAACGCGAGGGCAAAGGAAATTCAGCGTCAACACATGCAAAGTAAGGCACATTGGCGGGAAAAACGTAAATGACTCATGCACCTTACAGGGGGCTATTTATGCCTCCTCTCCCTCAGACTGATATACATCAGGAGTGATTCTGGGGTTGCCTATAGAGTTACACTGGTCTAAAACCATTCTATGGCCCTGATCCTGAAGATAGTGACACGTGTACATACTTTTACTCCAGCAAGCCATCCTGTTGGACTAATGAGCTGTCAGGTTGCCTGTCAACAAACTCAGATACTGAAAAGGCTTTTGATAGGGTGGTGTGGCTCTATCTCAGGGGTCTCAAAGTCCCGGCCTGTGGGCCATCTGCGGCTCGAGAACCTCCCCACTGTGGCCCGCGGAGGAGAGATGCAGGCAGACACACTGCTGGCAATGTCTGCTGCAGTTGCCGCCCCCCGCAGCTCCCATTGGCTGGGGGAGAGGGACAGAGATACCATCACTAGTCGCCGGGCAGAGTCAGCCATGGAGGCAGCATCACTTTTTTTCCACAATGAATATAAGCAAGTCAAAATACCGAACACAACTTTCTGATGCACACCTTGCTGCAATCCCGAAGGTTTCAACTGCTCAGTCACTGAGGCCAAACATCAACAAACAGGTGTCTGGCAAACACTAAAAACTCTCTGGCAGGTGAAGAATTGTATAAAGTTGTATGACAGTTTTATTATTTCTAAGAAATTTGAAATAAAAAATACAAGATAAATGTTTTCTTTTCTGAACACCATCTTCAGTGACGTTATGGGCCCGCTGGGAGGATTTGAGGACTGGCACTGGCCCTAAGGTAAATTGAGTTTGAGACCCCTGCTCTATCTTACCTCTTATGGCAGGGTTAAGGCCAGGTCTATGCTACAAAATTTTGCCGACCTAACTAGGGTGGCTAGAAAAATGAAAAAAATCACACTGAAACGCTCTGCCAGTGTAGACACAACTTATACCCACGCTGATATAGTTTGTCATTTAACTGTACTGCCAAAATAACTCCTTTAGCTGGTAGAAGCTACGTCTCCACTTGGGGATTTTCCCTGTACAGCTATAGCAGCAAGACCTCTGTCGTGTAGACTAGCCCTAAGAGAATTTGGGTTTAGCTCAGTTTTCCTTAATTGGGCTGATGTCATTCACAACTCTCTGCATTTGGCAGGACTGGCCTCAGAGTCCCATGTGCCAGCTAGTTCTCCGAGGACCATTACATCCAGAGCTGACACATCACTTTTATGGCCTGTGTTATACAGGAGGTCACATTAGATGATCTAACGGTCCCGTCTGGCCTTACAATCTGCATCGATGAAAATCTCCTCGTACAAACTTACCAGGCCCAGATCAAGTCATCACACGATTCTATGGAAATAGCCTCTGAAGAAGTGAGGTTCTGACCCACGAAAGCTTATGCTCCCAGTACTTCTGTTAGTCTCAAAGGTGCCACAGGACCCTCTGTTGCTTTTTATGGAAATAGCAGTGGTCAGTGCGGGGGCAGAGCAACTCATGGCTGTGTGAACAACTATATGCGCTCTGGAGCACATTTCTGATACCCTACCTGCAAGGAAGGGAAGATGGAAGGGTGAGAAGGGCAGAGTTAAGGGGATTGAGGGCTTAATTGGGAATTTCCAGACTTTCAAGCTTTGGAGTTTTTTGTACGTTTCAACAGAATTCTAAATTGTCTCTGTCTCTATCATGGCTCCTTGGGGTTTTTCGCTCACTACAGGGTTTCACAGCGGGTGAGCTGCAGGTCGTCCTGAACAAAGTTTTGTGTCTAGATCAGTATCCCATCTCAGACACCCGGGCAGTGTCAGGATGTGAGAATCTGTGGTAATTTCCTTTTACATCCGTGTCTCTGTTTCTGTATGTTGCATCCCCCACTAAGCAGCTATCAGAGATTATCTAGTCACGCTGTGACCCGAACACCACATGAAACTGCAGCGCTGGGGAGAACGCCAAGACCGGAATTAGAGCCGGAGCCACCCACCAAACTGAGTCTGTGGCTGGAGCAATTGGAAAGGCCCCAGCCGGTGAGGACACTGGCCAGTGTGTGTCAATTGCTGGAGAATTTTGCCACTGCTTCACCGCAGGCTGCAGGGGGATACAGCATCAGGTGCTGTCTATCTAGAGTCGCTTATCGCCTTTCCTGTATCTTGCTGTGTCAGTTCCTGGGCTGAGATGCCTTATCAGTGCCAGAACGTTCGCTGCCCAGCGTGAGCACGGCTGTGAGCCAGACCTGGCCGCTGTCACTCTCCCGGGGAAGGCAAAGCTGTGCAAATCCCCTAGAGTGAAGGCATATGGGTATGACGGTGTTTATCCCGCTAAGCTATTCCCATATGGGAAGGGGAATGAGCCATGTGGGGATAAGGCCCTTTTATCCCAGTCAAACTGTGTCCACACTAGGAGTTGTACCGGTGTGACTAGATCTGTTTGAAAAAATTCACCTTCTAGCTGACATGTTTAAACCAGGACACAAAAGAGGTGTAGAGCAGGCCCCTTCCTGGGACTGTCCCTTAATCCTGGACCCCACCTTGCACCCAGGTGATATTGACTAACCAGAGCTTGCTCCGTGAAGAGTAGTGGGAAGGGTGGAGAACTATAGCAAAGAGAGCCAGGCAAACCCTGTAGCGTAGCCAATGCAATTACCCAAGGGTCGGTTCCAGGCAAGAAAGAACTCAACCCGCCTCACAGCATGAGTGGAAATGTAGCTTCTGCAGAATCTGGATCTGCCCTGCGGGGAGAGTGGGGGGCGGCTAAACCCCTCCCCTGGGTGGGATCAGGTCCCTGGCTGGCAGCATGACCCCTGCCCTGTGCCATCCATGTCACTGGGTGAGGTTGGGAGTTGCTTTCACACGTGGGGGTTGGTCTCCTGGTGTGAGGAGTCCCCAGGTCTCACCCCCCCACCCCCCCAGCAGCCTCAGGCTGTCATGCAAGAGGAGGCACAAGAATTGCCGGCCTATCTGCAGTGTAAACACCAAACGGGGAGAGGAATGTTGGACAGGGTCATGTGTCTGTACAGCCCCTAGCACAGCGGGGCCCTGCTCAGTGATTCGGGCTCCCGGGCACTGCTGCAATGCACACGATCGATCATCCCAGCAAGGTGTAACTGGGAAGGGGCTAGGAAAGGACGACTTAGGCTGCCTCTCCCCAGAGGCATCCTGGTTCCCTGTCACTGTCTCCAAGGGTGCCCCATGGCTTGGGGGTGTCAGAGTCGGGCTGAGCCTGTGTGCAAGCGACTGGGAGGGAGAAGGCTCCGGGAGGGGGAAGGGGAAGGGAGATCGGGGCAGGGGATTATCTCATCCTGTGCCTGTCGCAAGGTTGATTGGCTGGTGAAAAGGAAGTTTCAAAGCTGCTGATGTTGTGTTCAGCCTCGCAGAGCCCTCGCCGCTCAGTGGGGTGATCCCAGAATCTCCCCGGCACCCAGACCCGGCCGCCCCGGCCGTCCCAGTCTCTGACCCATCACTCCACGGGCACTGACTCTCCTGTTCTGCAGCCCGCCAGGATGGCAGGAGCTCCCTGTTCCTTCCTTCTTTTCCTCCTGCTGGTTTCCCAGCCCAGGGGTAAGTTCTAGCGGGGGGCTAGAAATGAAAGGGTGAATCTTGGGCAGGGCCGCCAAGGAGGGGGGGGCAAGTGGGGCAATTTGCCCCAGGCCCTGGGCCCTGCAAGGGCCCCCACAAGAGTTTTCGGTGGGTCTTCGGCGGCAGGTCCTTCAGTGCTGCCGAACACACCCGGAGCGAAGACCCGGAGCTTCTTCCACTCCGGGTCTTTGGCGGCAATTCAGCGGCGAGGGTTCCTTCCGCTCCGGGTCTTCGGCGGCAGTTCGGAGGCGGTTCCTTCACTCGCTCCGGGACCCACCGCCGAAGTGCCCCGAAGACCCGGAGCGGAAGGACCCTGCTGCCGAAGACCCCAGGCCCCCTGAATCCTCTGGGCGGCCCCGATCTTGGGAGGGGATGGGAACAAAAGAGGGGCCAGGCCCAGGAGCTGGGCCGGGCTGGGGGGTCTCTCTGCCCCCAGGGATCCGGTGCAGTCTGGGCCCAGCCAACACAAGGGTCTGATCCTGCATCCCTGACCCACATGTTGCCCAGGCAGAGGGAATGCCGGAGAGACCCGGTGCCTACTCTCGGCCTTCGTTCCTGGCTGGCCTCTTCTCTGCTCCCCCCACCCCCTGTGCTGTCCCCGCTGGAGGTTCTCTCCTTCGCCCTGTGGGGTGTTTGTTCCCAAGAAGGTGGTTTGCCAGGCAGTGAGACTCAGCCACCTTGGGGTACTCACCAGGGCTGCTGCCTCCATGAAAAGGACTGAGGATTTGGGGGGTCACGGCCACATTGTTAAACAAGCCAACGACCCTCAGGGAGAGGCAGGAGGGCGCAGCAGTGAGAGCCCAGAGCTGGCCAACAGGAGAGCTGGGCTCTCTCCCTTTACAACCCCAGCGTTGCTGTAACCTCA